AGCCTTGTGTGATCTATTTTTGTTCACATTATTGTATTATCGTGTAGGTAATTTTATTTGTAGTTAAAACAATGTTTTGGAGATTATTAGCCACCATATTTTTCTCCTGTTCACTAAAATATGACAATTAAATATCTGGTTTATGGACAATGAGTGAGGTTTTTACTTTAACTTCCTGTTAGACTACCTACTACCTAGTATACCTATTRTATATTATAACCCCGTACGTATTATTATATGTGAGACAGAAAAAATATACTGGTGCCCTGTTAATATCATTGCGGTTTAAATAAATGGCATCGATTGTATGTATATTATAATGATAATAATAATATAACAATATGATACTTTTATTTATTATTGATATAAGGCCTCAACATCAAGCCCATCAAGGTCATAACTTAAACATAGACATAAACTGATAAATTCATGTCACAGCGTCTCATAGTTACAAATTATCTGTATATATAAATTAATTTATGTCTATCTGTATGTCTGTCTGTCCTTTGTGTATTCCTAAACGACTGGACGGATTTGGACGAAATTTGGTACAGAGACATATTAGACCTATATGGGCAGAAGATAGACTAAATTAAAAAGTGATAGTCCCAACCCCGGGAGGTGCCTAAACAGACATTTTGAGATTTACGATGGAAATTGTTATTTATTTATAAATGGTTACCTACTTTTAGCGATGGCTGCTTTATTGAGGATTGATATATTTTTATTTTTTTTTTGGTAAATAAGTTTTTTATTCAATCTGTTTCGAAAAATAAGAACAATTGATGGTAAAGCTAAAATAAATTAAAAAAGACAGACTGCAGAAGCCTCCCAGCGCGGAGGTACTACGACATAGTAAAGAATTTATTGTTAGGCTACCAGGTCACAACACCACTGTCTTTGGGGTTGATATTAGTGCGAAAGAAGTTATTAGCCTTAAATTTATTATTATTTTTTGTTTCTATGGCATTACAAGTTCTTATTGATATTTTGTGTTTTTTGTTTCTTTTTTTTCATAATAACACCATTTCTATGCATCTCATAAAAATATTTTTAAATATTATGAATATTTGGATTTGTCGCAATCGGTCTATAGCTGTTTAGAAATGTGTGACAAACAGATTTATATAATATAGATCTATTATCTAAATATATTATATTTATACTATTCGAGCACGTGTACTGGTGTACTACATAGCCTGTTAAAAGTCCTAMTTCTGACAACCCTGCAGTCTGGATTTATGCATAAAGGCATTCCAATTCCAATTGGTGGACCGATTGCGACGAAATTTGGTAAAATTATAATTACAGTATTCATCTAAGAAAAATAGATAAATAATACATTATATTGTAGAGCATTTAAATTCAAAAATGGRGCTTCAGGTATGCGCTGTGCTGACGGAAAAGTAAAATTGCCAGAATTACATACCATTCCAAGTGCTGGACCGATTAAGAAAAAATGTTGTACAGAGATATATTAGATTTATGTGTAGAATATAGGCTAAGTTGGAAGGTGGCAGGCTTAAATATCATTCACTTGAATATTTGAATTGTCAGACTTTGCTCGATAAAACGAATAAATTTACAAAATGATAAACTAAATTGAATATCGTTGTAAGATTATTACTTAGTATATTTTAGCCGTTATCTATCTATATGTATAAAAATATRCTGTTATGTGCTAGCATGATCACAGGTAACGAATTTAACACACAATTTGAGACATATAAGAAGTAGGATTTTTAACGGGCTACGAAGTTCACGGGTTCAGCTAGTACAAAATACCTATGTTAATACCTATATATAATAGGAACGTTCATAAAATATGTCACGGAAGAACTTTTTGATTTTTTGTAGGTATATTTGTGAATATATATTGCATATAATAGGTAGTTACCTATAAATCACGGTTCCCATATTACTAAATTGGTTAATAATTGTATTATTATTATTATTATTATTACAATTAATTGTTGAACAGACAATAGACACCAATCAAGGGTAGGAAATAAATTGTGAATTTCTTAAATAGGTATGCACATATAGCACATATAAATATTAGGTAGGTACCTACTCAATATTTATAGAAGATGTATAAGACCGTAAGTCAATTRCAATTTGGTGGCTATTCACAAAATTACACATATAAATTATGTAATTATTAATATTGTATTACTATTACTCTATTACTTGTACCTTTTGGTGTTTATYCCGACATACCATCTCCTGAGCTGACACAATAAGTACTACCCCCGAAAAATCATCCTAAATACAYCACTGGACGATAGTGCTAATGTTATTACTTAAACATAAATATTTATATCAATATATTGAATACCAAAGAAAAGATATTTCATATTCTCCGTAGACGGTAGATCAGGGATCTTTAGTATCAAACAATTCAGTTTCYAYCCCGTTTAAATGCAATGTTTGAATTGGAAAAAAAAAATAAAAGAAGAATGAACAAATAAGAAAAAATKGCGAAAATTTAAACATCTTATATTGATTAGAGTAAAGTATAAAAACAAGGGATATCAATAGGCATTAGAAATTATCATTCATTAATCGTTAAATTGCTGTTACAACAATAATATGCTATTATAATGGCGTCAAATAAAAATAATAATATTAATAAACTAATAAACAATACACATTTCAATCGGTATAAGCATTGTTCTGTGGTATTATGCAATATGTTTTCTAACAAAAACGGCAGGTATGATGTAAACAATACAATAATCGTATGAAACTTTTTGCAGTTTAGACAAATATTAAACTGGGTGATTCATCAAGAATGCTTTCTCCGTCTTTTACTTTAATAATACATTAATTCGAATTATGATTTTTAGCATTTCTAAATAGGTATATTCAAAATTCAAAGCCCATATATTGAAATATTTTATACTACTTATGAAGTGTATTATAGGGATAAAWTCTGTTTTTTAAAATGAGAAATATTTAGAGGATATTTTTTTTTTTTTGAACATTTTGATGTAACTATAATTAAAAATTCGAATAAGTATAGTTTCAGAGCTATTAACATTTTTGTACTAAGGATAAAAATGTTTTTAAAAAAACATATAAAATAAACTTAAAACTGGTTCTAATTTAATTTACTATACTCAGGCATTTTTACAAATTATTTTAACTATAGATTGATCATTGATAGATTAATATTAATGATTGAAACTGTCAAATCACCACAGCCGCCATACATACATTATTATAAATTTATAAAACTACGGACTTTATATCGTTTGAACATAAGTAACTCAAAAACGACTCGTACGATTTTTGATCCTGATACGTCAACATTTTCGGAAAATATCATTGTACAATTTACWGTTGAAAAGGCGTGTTATCATTTTAAAATAGAAGTTTGTATCTCCACAAGACACCTCTTAAGTACCTAGCATAAAAATATTAAGAAATTAAAAATATGTTCTTGTAGAATATGAACAAATTATAAAAATTAGATTTTGAATAACTGCATTATTGACGAAAAAAGGTGGTGCACTTAGTGAATYATTCTGTAAATATTAAAATATTCAAGTATACAACAATACAACATTAATAATATATTAATTTTATATAATCTATACCAGAAGTGTAAGCATGATGGTGTCATCGGGGAGATATTAAAGTATATCTTCTCAATATATAAAACAACAACTAAAAAAAAGTAATCTAGGTATGCATGTATATTGTGACACCTCAATTGAGGTGTACGTTAGTATCTTATTGATATTATTTTGAAGTTATGATAGTTTAAAAWTGTACAGTTAAACGGTTTAAAAGTGGTCATAATTTGCTTCTTAATAAAAACAAAAATAAAAGTCTCCGATATGCCCTTAATTATTATTATAGGTACCTATTCACTCTAACTTTAGAAATTACAGAGGAAAATATCACAATATTCTGAGAAAATATATTATTATGAACGTACAATTTACTATGTATATGATACGTTTGTGAGAATGAAACAACAAATCCCGTGTAGCACATTATTCATAATATTTTTCACGAGTTGTGTATATTTTACGAGCATTCAAAACTTTTAGGGCTCCTTCGAATTTTTCTAAGCAACATAAGAGCTTTGYRAATAAATGCCTTGTAGATTTATCCGCTTCCTCAAACAATTCCTAAATACGAAGTTGAGTGCTAMGTGTATTTAATTGGCTTCTACAACTTTTATTGTTATTATTACCTATTGGCTATTACTACTATAACTATTAATAATAACTTATATTTAGTTCAAGGTCGAGCGATTTTTGGCAATTTAACTTTGTTTACACTACTAATAGTAATAGCGATTAAAGAATAGAGATATTACATTTTCGTGATCAATAATATGTTCTCGGTTTAAATTTTAGTCAATACCTATGAATACAGTTGTGTACCCGGTGAGTGGTAATRGCCGGTTATAAATTATAATCCATACCCCGAAAATTGATAAAAAAAACAAAATGTTCATTCATTTATGATTGATAAAATTTATAAAAATTAATTTTCACCCCACCCCMAAAATTCTGAATACGCTTCACTATGTATAACAAATTAAAATTATTAGTGATGAACCGTGTTGTAAATAATCTACATCATTTGCATAATTGCATAAAAAAATAAATACCAAGTAATAGTTAAAGTTTAATGTGAATGAAACTATGAAATTGGATAAGTAGGTAATACTTTTTGAAAAGATCAAAGATATATATATATATATATATACATATTATATATATATATTTAAATATTTTTAACTATTATTTAACTAATTTATTCTTTAAAACTCAATTTTTTTTTAACCAACTGTAAAAAAAAATGTAGGACAAAGGTTAATATATAACTAAAATTGCTGTATACAAATTGTAAAAAAATATAAGTTATATATAAATAAATAATAATTAAGTATAGGTAGATATATCAACAAATCAACATCTAATAACAAAAATGATAATAAATTGTAATAAAATACTTATTTGTGTACAAAACTCAAATAATACTATACGTACATATTAGTTTTATTGAAATAAAAATTAATTTTTTCGACAATAAAATAAAATATAAGCTTCAGAAGAACAAATGGTTGAAGAATCAATTTCATACACCCGGACATCATCAAATTTATACCATCTATAAAAAAACACATAAATTATGCATTTGAGTATGTCAAAAATATTTTAATTGAAAATCTTAATGATTTTATGATTACTTGTTTATTGACTTTTTGAGACAACTTGCTGTGTAATGTCCACCATCAAGTGATCCAGAATGATTTGATACACCATATAAACAGTATTTCCAATTACGGTGTTCTGAACCATTTATAAAATTTGACATATCAAGATTCATTTTAGGGAATTCAACATTTGAATTCTTCTTGTAACCGTTGCTTGAAAATCTAAATAATTAAATGATCAGTATAATTATATTTATATCAAAACATCAATAAAATACCTTTTCAAATGTATAATTAAATATGGAGGAAGTCTCATTATGTCCAATTTTTTAGTAGCATCCCTGCTGCGTTTACATTTTGGACAATGCCAACCACATATTGATTCACCATTCAAGTATAACTGAAGGCAGTCCTAAAACATTATATAATTTCAATTTTTAAACATTTTAAAATAGAAGATTATTTGTAGGTATTTTCTAATAATTATTTTATT